CAGTGTCACGTGTCAAAACAAACAACACGTGCTGTTAGTGATTTCCGCCTCTAGAGGCCGCTCTCATACTGTATAATGGCAGCGGACCCTTCTCGGCCACTCCAGCAACAGATGCAACCCGGAAAACTATCGGCATTGATTTTTGCCGATAACCGATAGTTCCGCCAATCAACTATTGGTGCCGATTAATCGGCAAAACTGATGAATCGGTCGACCTCTAAAAGAAATTAATACTTTTATTCAACATGCTTGCATTAAAAAAAAATCACATTTCAAATTATAATTTAGAATAATATTATATATAAATAAAATAAAAAAATAACTTACTTTATTAAACAAATCTTATTTTTGAATGGTAGTATGCATATATATGTGTGTGTATTTTTAATTTTATTTATTTATTTTATGTACGTATGTATGTATGTATGTATGCATGTATTTATTTATTCATTTTTACATTTTTTGTTATTTAACTACAAGTTAAACTAAATTAAAATAAGAAATTCTGCATTGGCAACTAGTAGAAATATTTTTTTAAATAGATTTTATTTTCATTTAATGTTTATTTTATTTAAAGTATCTATCTATCTGAACAGCCACTGAGTAGATGAACCATGTTATATGCCAGTTATATTTTGTAACGTAGGAAGATTTTAATTTTAATTTTAAGCAAACTTAGTTGTTTACTGAAGCCCATGTGTGAGTTATTCCTCTATTTGTTTTTCATTACCTGCAGGAGAATAATTCTAATCATGGATAAATTACACGACCAGTCACTGTTTCGGAGCCCTGAGACACACTCATTGACGTCTGCTTGAAATTTGAAGGGCCATATTACAAATTCTTGTGGTAATTTGCATTCTAATCAATTACGCATTACCATAAAACCAGCTAAACGGAACACAGACTAACAGAGAATAATTATAGCCGCTATTCCACCAGGAGCTACAGCGGCAGAAAAGTTTCACTCGAAATCCCCGTTCCCACAACACAGGAAGCGAGTCCTCATCCACGGCTGAAAGCTGCCGTGAGAACCATCAGACTATAATTACACTGAGCCGCAGCAAAATGTGAAAATAGGGCCACCCTGAAATGGGCCCCACAGGGTAAGTACAGCAGTCCATCTCGACACGGGCCCGTGTCCCGCTCTATGCTGGGGGAATGAGGACTGGGTGACACGTTTGTGGAATATTTTAGCAGCTATTTGGACAGTTCTCTGCTCTCCTCAACTTGTGAAAAATCTCACTTTCTCGGATATCATCAATTATTGTAGCGCCGCGTCAGCATGCAGCCCTGGAGCTGCAAATTGAACTAGATAATTAAGGTATTTGGTGTAATACTACATTAGTATTTTACATGGCAATATGTAAACAGTTTTTATCCACAAAAGCTAGTTATATGTCCTTATACAAGACCAGAAAATGTCCTTTAAGGAACAATTCACCCAACTTATGACTTACTTTCTTCAGTGGAGAACAAAAGGAGACATTTTCAAGAACGTTCACGCTGCTCTTTTCCATACAGTGACCAATAAGTACGTTCATTTCCCCTATTTTTACAATTAGTTTACCTTTGCCGTCATTTAAACACTCTCTTTAAGTTAATCTATAAAAACACTAATAATTTAATAACACTGTTACATGTTATTTTTAGCAAATCTGAAAATGAATGTGCATTATAATGTTGTCGCGCCTTAATTCATTTGGAACATTTGAAATTATTTATTTTGAATTAACTAATATTACAATTCCATGCTAATTTGTCTATTTACTGGTTATCTGCCATAATGTGAACTATTATCAGTTTATTGTGATTTAATTTTAAAATCTGTTAATCTGTATAAGTATTAATGACAACATATTCATATCATCTCCTTTTGGGTTCCACAGAAGAAATAAAGTCATACCAGTTTGAAAACACATGAGAAATGAGGGCAGATTAATTAGTTCATTTTTTTTTTTTTTACAAACTATTCCTATAACTTATATTTTATTACATATTTTATCATAGTTTTCAATAAAGCTTTATAATTAAAGGAAACATTTGACATTTCTTTAAGTGTTGTTAACTAATTGTTAACTAAAACTAAAACTATTAAAATTGCTGTTGTTAATTGAAATAAAGCTTAAAAATAAAATGTACAAATTTTATAGAAATATTGTATTGGCAACTAACTGAAATAAACAAAGTTTAAGTTGAAGAACTAAAATTACTAAAACTGAAATAAAAATAAATAGCTAAATAGAAGCTAAATAAAATGACAATAGCATGTAATAAAATTACTAAAAGTAAATAAAAATAAAAATAAAAAATATAAAAATAAATGTTGCTATCGAAATATGAATAAATACTGTAATAGCATATAAATAATGCTAAAATAACACTGCTTTCCAGTGTTATTTTAGTATCACTGAGATATAGTTTTTATTAATATTTTTAATCAGTTTTTATTTTTATATATTTTCCGTTTTGATTTTAATATTAGTTAAATTTGTTGTAATTTTGTTGTGTGCATTTTGTAATTTTCAGTAGTTTTTTTATGTCTATACATTTTTTATTATTGTTTTTATTTCAGTTTTATTTTTTAGTTATTTTAGTACATCAAGTTAAACTAAATTAAAATTAGAAATATTGTCTTGGCATCTAGCTGAAATAAAACGTTTTATATATGTAATATATATTTATATTCATTTCAGTTAATGTTCATTTTATTTCAAGTAACAACTTTTTATGGTTTTAATTTTAGTTTTGGTTAACTATAATAACTCTGCTGCTTTCATATTTAACTTGAGGCTTACCTGCAGTTCTGGTGGGCCGCCTTCATCCCTGATCAGCAAGAGATAACTCTGTCCATCCACCACAATCTCCTTTTTAAACCTCCCTCCTGCAAGAACACAGAATAACATTACTTATACTGTTTCTACAACATGGTCCTCTCTGAAGCTCATTTACCAGCAGGCAGTGTGCCGCTGACGTCAATGCCATCAAGATTAAGGGACTGAAGATACACCCCTGAGGAACTCCCTTCAGCTCCATCAATCTGAACGCACAAGCATTTCTAATTCTCAGCTTACGCATACCTTCTGGCAGTTGTGAAGTGTTGGACAAGAGATGGAGAAAGAGAGAGAAAGAGCCAATGAGTTAGTGAGCGTGTAAATGAGTGTTTGGGATGAATGTGTTTGCATGTCTAAACATGACTAATGATTAAACCCATCAGAGTGCTGCCCATCGCTCCTGCTTCATTATACAGCACATGGAAACATGGTTAACACAGAATAGAGCAACTGATAAAAAAGAAATATCAGCCAACAAATGAAATTAGGCAAGCCTTATCCGAAATCTGAGTTATTTCGACACCAGCAGTGAGATGAGAGTCTGAGACTTTGATTTTTCACCCTTCATTTATTCCCTTCTCAACAGATGTTTTTTTTCCTTCCTCGCAGCCGCTGAAAGCTGATGGAACTTTGATGCCATTGAGATTCCCTCAAATTAAATTGCACTTTTTTATAGTAGGAAAGTTTGTGTAGCCTTCTAGGAGGACAAAAGAGGAAGGGTGAGATCTTCGCAGATTATGACAGGTTAAAAAGGCAAGGCAATGTGTAGAATATATGAACAGCCTGGAGAGAAAAGGGCTGAATTTGGTTGAACTTCACCTGAAAGTGTTAGGAATTTAATTTAAATAAGCAGCCATTGAAAGGCACAGAATGTTACAGTGGCATGGTACAGAGGTTATGTAACAATGTTAGCTGACAGAATTATAATATTATTTAAAAAAAATAGAAATATAAAAAATGTATTTAAAATATTTAAATTATTTGTAAAAGAAATAATAAAAACTATTTTTATATTAAACAAAAATATAATGAGTATTTAATAACATATATTGAAAGAATAATGAATTACTATAATAATTAGCATAATTTCTATTTATATAAATAAAATATTCAAAATGATTAATTCTAAACAAATTAATTTTATTTTACTGTAAAAATATAATAAATAATGAAAGAAATAATAATAAACTATCAATGTTACATGAAAATTATATATATAATTATAATAATTCATTTGAAAACAGTGTTTTAATGTAAAAAATAGCGATGAAAAACCTGAATGATAAATAAATAATACTTGTGTGTCTATGTATGTATATATATAAATCAAAACAATTATTAATAACTATATTTTAATAATCAAATCATTATTAAAGCAATAAACAATAACAATTCAACTGCTTTGATTATCCCAGTGAATACTGTTCATGAGGGGACTGTATTATGAAAAATGCAATGAGATGGACAATGCAACGAACCTAACTTGACTTTCCATTTCCAGTGTGATGAATAAACATAAAGTGATTAGATTGACTATTTTAAAACATGTTTTGATTCATTATTTGATCTGACTGCCAAAAATTAAGGATAAAAGGTATTACACAAAATCAAATTAAAAACGCAGAGCAATTAGAGCTGGACACCCTTGACATGCAACGTGATGAGAAAATGTGACAATGTAGCATAATGCATACTCTTTCACTATAAAAAAGTAGTTCATTCAGTTCAGCATTCAGTTCAGTTCATTCAGCACATGACTTCCCTTTACTTTAACTCTGGAGCTTTGTCACTCCTGAGCACCTCCCAGGAGGGTTTTTATTGGGTAAATATAATGATTGAATGCTTGTTGCACAGTGTATGACTGGAAGCTGCTGAAGTTCGCGCCACATAGCAAATCCTTACTTCCAAGTTCAGTGACCCCTGGAGTAAATTGGCATTAAGAGGTTCACTGGAGCGCTGAGGGACGTTAATAATAGCGGAACGAAACACAACATGACACTAAGAAGATTTCAGCCAGCGACCTCATATCAACTGAGAGATATTGTCCATAAAGCCAGTACGCCAAGCACACTACACTTTTAATTATTCCACCTGTGTCCTGAGAATCCATCCATTTTTATTCCATCAATGCTTCCCTTGAGACTAAAAGCAAAATAAAACTTGTCAAATTCAGCACCGTTTTTGCTCTAACAGGAGAAAGTGAACAATATGTTCATATTGGCCAATATGAATACACCTGCAAGCATAATAAATATGAAAAATAGCAATGTGTGATATTTATTGTCTACAATAACATCATAACTGTTGTTTTAACAATATGCAAACTGACATTATCGAGTCACTCACTTTGCAAAAAACAAACAGAGAGAGTCCAAAAGCATTCACTGCATGAAGACTATTAGAATGCAGTTCGAATGCATATATAATTTCAGTTATAAAAGCAAAAAATATCCCTGTATGGGTTTTTGTTTTTTATATTTATAAGATATGATATAGCTAAGTAATATCACATAAGCAAGAGTGCTGTTTTCCTGAATATTAGCATGTGAGCATGATCGCAAACGTGATATTAACTTTATACACAGTTAAAAAAAAAGAAGTAAATTTTTTAACTTCTGTTTTTCGCCTACAAAAACAGTTCCAAACAAAGTTGGATCAGAACATTTGTGCATCTCAGAGAAACGCTGCATGTTTCATTCCTGAATGAATCTGTTTTTGAATGAATCATTTGAGTCAATGATTCATAAAGACTATTAATAAAGTCACTTGCTTTGTTTTTTAAATGAATCAGTAATTTGAATGAATCATTTGAATGAATGATTCAATTAATCACTCATTAAGACAGGCATTCACCAACATCTACTGGTGGTTTTAGTGTCATATTTATTTATCCATGACAGGCCTAAACCAGTCAAGGTACCAGCATAAAAAAAAACACTAAGCAAAATAATGTTTAATTATCGTTATCGAAAACAAAATCACAAAAAAATATCAACATCATTTTTTGTCAATATCGCACACTCCCAATGCAAAAATAACTTAATTACTGAAGAAAATGCAAGTTATGCTGGTATGAAAAACAGGCTGCAACTGTCTGAAAATCACTTAGTTCTTCCCCAATCCACGATTTGAGAAATCAACTAGTTCAAATCTCTAACTCTAAAATATGTGCAATAATTCTTGCATTAAAGGTCCCCTGAAATGCTTAGAAACACGCAGCGTTACTCATTTTGATTTCATTGGGGACTTTAAGAAGCACCACTAAAACTGTTGTTTAATTGAAAAGAACTGAATTTAACAGCTTTTTTTTCTGCCGCATTCACAGAAGCTTTTAAAGTAGGAGATAATTGCATTGGAGCCAGAAAGGGCATGTCTGAACATGTCAAGATAGGACAGAACAAAAATCCCTCCAGCAAAGTTTCTTGCTCATTCAGACGTTTGACAGAAAGCAGTGCAAAATAGATGTTTTTCATCTCTCAGTTTGTGCTGCAAAGGCTAAAAAGAAAATGGCAAAAAGAAATCGAGCCTTACTGTCACCAGCAGAGATGTGTGAGGCTTTTCACGATGCTGTGATTGTTCTGAAATTCAGCCCTGGTTTGGGTCTTCAGGAATCCGTCGTTATGATTCTAATCTCTAATTTAGATTTCAGAGGGGCAGCTGGTGCCAGGAGGCCATAAACATTTAATCTCTCCGCCGTCACTCAAAAGTAAACGCCGAGGGTTGATGACACGCTCCGGTGGTGGCAGGCTAGGCTGCCTGACCCTCTGTTGTCATGGCAACACCGGAGCAATCGTAGAGGCGGAGCATTGGCATGGAAACTCAGAGCTTCTTCTGTGCAGGAGCCAATGGTCAATTTCAATTAAGCGTCACTTAATAAACCTGGGAAGGTCTACAATTCAAAAGTCTTAAAGGTTTTAAAATAAATTAATACTTTTATTTGCAAGGATGGATTAAATTGATCAAAAGTGACAGTAAATACATGCATTTAAAAAAAATATTTTAAATATTATCAAAAAATATTCATCAAAAACATCCATCTCTACTCAGAGGTGTGTTAGCACCAATCCCGCAGCGATTCATTGACTTTCATTTCTGTCAGGACCACTATCGTCAAAGATGATTGACAATTAGCATACCGTTTGGATTGGCGGTATGGGTCTGTTCTGGGCAAGAACTCCCTGTGCATCCATGCAGTCTAGCATGGATGAGAGCAGGGAGAGCAGCGATAACGCCCCAGGGTAAACAGAACAGAACCAACAAATGCATTGCAGATATCGTTAAAGTTCAATAATGTTATGTACACATTTTAGAATTAGTCTGATTCAAAGGAGAATCAGAAGGCTGAATCCCGACTGACAGAGGAGGAGCTTTGTAAAAATCGACGCGTTTCAGAAAGGCGGGGCATAGAGGAGAAACAATAATGTACAGTATGTTGAAAATAATGTGTTTTTTTAACCTTAAACCGCATAAACACATTTCATTACACCAAATACACACAATAATGTTCTTTTTAGCAACATCATATGACCCCTTTAAAGCTCAATAATTTTATGTACACATTTTAGAATTAGTCTGAATCCTGACTGACAGAGGAGGAGCTGGGGATGGAGGAGGGTAATTAGCTATTAGGCAATGCGAAATCTGCTGATAATACTGAGGGACCTTATATATGAATGCTTAGATAGGTGTCGTATTCCTATAGGTAGATGGGGATCAGCTGAGAGTCAGCTGATGCGAGCTTGACTAACGTGACCTGCCAGAACTAACGCTACGCTTGATTTTTCTCACTGCATTAGAAATGCACATTATTCCACATCGGTGCCACAGTCCGGTCAGAGAGAGGCAGAGACTCTGACTGAATGAGACTGAACTGTGAAAGTTGAATTCAAAACAAGTCCTAACAGGCTCCTGAGCGTCGTCTTCCTTCAAGGGAAACACAATGTGCATACAGGCATCCAACCAAACCCACTGGGCCAGAATACTCAACATTTTACCTCATTTTAAGCAATGTGGCTATTGTTCACCATGCTCCAGGTTCAATGCAAGTTTAAATATATTGTCAACATTTGAAAATTATTTTTTCTCTCTCTCACTAAAACAAAACCTTTTTTTTTTTAATTGAAAACAAATATCTCATTTACAATAATGTAGACACAATGTACTGCTAGAATTTTGGCTAAAGCATTCAATTCGTTCTTCAATACAAAAATGTGCATTATAGGAGCTAAAAAATGTCTAAATCATCCCTTTAGCAGTTATGCATTACAGATGTAATGTTTCTTCACATAAAATCAATACAAATACATAAAATACAATCCTTTAGTTAACCTTTCAATACTTAAATTTACTAGCTTGATTTGATGATAAAACTGGACATAACTTACTCAGAAAAGGTTTGTAAGTGATTTTATCATACTAGACTCATGTTAAGACATATTTATGGTGATACTTTCAAAACAAGTTTTTTTATCATTGATTCTAAGGTAATCTTGCTTTATAGGCTTATTGTGTAAGTGCATCACCTACTACAACACAATTGTTATTTCCTATTACAAATTGAGGAACAACTCAAAGTCTTAATTATGTAGATGTATTGAACCCAGAATATTTCTTTAAATAAAAATGCTACCGTTTAAAGTGGGTCAGTGACATTTTTTAAATGTGTTTGAAAGAAGTCTTTCTCACCAAGGCTGAATTTATTTGATCAAAAATACAGTAAAAACAGCAATATTGTGAAATATTATTACAATTTCAAAGAACTGATTATTTATTATTTATATTCTAAAATGTAATTTATTCCTGTGATCAAAGCTGAATCTTCAGCATCATTACTCCAGGCGTCAGTGTCACATGATCCTTCAGAAATCATTCTAATATGCTGATTTGATGCTCAAGAAACATGTATTATTATTATCAATGGAGAAAACAGTTGTGCTGCTTAATATTTTTGGGAAACCCATGAGACATATTTTTTTCAGGATTCTTTAATCAATAGAATGTTCAAAAGAACATAATTTATTTGAAATGGAAATCTTCTGCAACATTATAAATGTCTTTACTGTCACTTTTGATCAATTTAATGCATCCTTGATGAATAAAAGTATTAATTTCTTAAAAAAAAAAACCTCACTGACCCAAAACCTTTGAACGGTAGTGTATTAATGCAATTAAAAAGAAGATCATGAAGTCTAAAGTTTTACTTTTAACCTCAGTGTCAACCTAAAACCATTGCAGGGCATCTCTAGCTGCCAAAATAATTTGTTCATATAAAAATAAATAAAGCGCACAAATGACCATATGAGATGATACAAATTCATGGCCAGCAAAGTTTGCTCCGCAGCAGGAGGTCTTGTTGGGTGACTGGCCCTGACAAACACGCTGTAGGCGGCCCTCCCTGCTGCTCACTCACCCTCGGGCGACTCCTCCTGGACATATGTTCCTGTCAGATACCGGTGAACTAACGCTGACTTCCCACTGGACAGGTTTCCCACGATGCCCTGCATGCAGAAACAGAAATGAGTCAGGCCGAAACAGAGCAGCAAACGACAGTGTTTGGGTGCATAAAGAAAACAGAAGAGAAAACAAATGACTGTCTGGAAGACAATCAATGGGATTAATTTCAGGATATTAAAGAACTAAAGAACCTGATGTCACATGGATTATTTTACAGATCTCCTTGCTCCGTTTCTGGACTTGGGAACATTTCAGTTGTGTTGCTGTCTATGCAGGGTCAGAGAGCTCTCAGATTTCATCAAAAATATCTTAATTTGGTGTTCCGAAGATGAACGAAGGTCTTACGGGTTTGAAAGGACATGAGGGTGAGTAATTAATGACAGAATTTTCATTTTTTGGTGAACTATCCCTTTAAAAATGCTGTAGCTGTTTTTGTGAACATTTGCCTCAAAGACAATAATCACTTTCATCAACTTTTCACTACCAACAGATGGAGAACATCCGTTGTGCATCCAGGATTTCCTTCAAACAAGTCGAGATCCCTTCCGTCATCAAACAACACCTCAAGCGTGGAGGAAGCAACTTTCAGGAGTTTCCTCGCTCACACCTGACGCAACTGTTCTGCCTGTCAGTCCACGGGACGACGGCTGTTCCTGCACGGATAATTCCCTCACAGCTGCGAGTAGACAGCTTTAAAAACATAATGAGGACAGGTTTACCTGTCTTTCTCCTCAAACACTGGAGATGAAGGACTGGTGAGCGCCGATAAAGACAGAAGAAGCTTTTTTCTTTGAAGAATTCAGTAATGGCAGTACTTCACAAAGGTTTACACTTTCCCCTGCACTTTGAATGTTAGTTTATTTGTTATTTTTGTTAATTTGATTATGCTTCCAGCTACCAAGACAAACTGCTCTGATGAACACATTTTCCATATTTAAATTCCTTTTCACAGAATTCCAAAATGTTCCCCCAAAATTCAGCAAAGAAAATGTGAAAATAAAGTCCTTCTAACCAATATGCAAAACCGACATTTAAATCATAAGGTATTATTAATAATAGCTAAAAACCTCAATAGCAAAAATCTGTAATATAAAATTCATTTTGTAATATAATGATTTATAATAATTTAAAATTGCTATAATAATTATACGTAATAAATAATATAATATATAATTGAAATAATAACTAATTAAATTAAATTAATTAAATTAAAATAAATTAATTTAAAATTTAATTAAATTATTATTTAATAGCAGATAAAAATATTTTATGCTAACGGAATGTTTACTCTAATATATTCTGATATACACCGGAATTAAATTAAATGAAATTAAATTAAAAAGTGTAAATATCAGTTAAAAATGGCATCTTTGATATTATTTGATAACAATATAAAGTCAATAATTAAATCAACTTAATTAGTATACATTTATACATATATGTGACCCTGGACCACAAAACCAGTCATAAGGGTCAATTTTTTGAAATTGAGATTTATACATCTTCTGAAAGCTGAGCTTTCCATTGATGTATGGTTTGTTAGGATAGGACAATATTTGGCCGAGATACAACTATTTGAAAAACTGGAATCTGAGGGTGCAAAAAAATCAAAATATTGAGAAAATCACCTTTAAAGTTGTCTAAAGTCCTTAGCTACACATATTACTAATGATAATACATTTTTGACATATTTATGGTAGGAAATTTACAAAATATCTTCATGGAACATGATCTTTACTTAATATCCTAATGATTTTTGGTTGGAAAGAAAAATGTATAATTTTGA